ACCTTTGGCACTCCCAAAGATGATCATGATAATTAGGAAGGGCAAATGGGGAATGTTTCTACAATGGCTTCATGATCTCAATATGTACTTAGAATTATTCTCTACAATACAGGGGGAAAAAAGAAAAAAGAAAAAGCACATTTGATGGCTGGGGATGCAGTTCAGTGGTACAGCACTTGCCTGAAATGCATGAGGCCCTAGCTTCAATCCCTAGTAGCACAAAAACAAAAAAATCCCAAAAACACATTTGTTAATTCCTTCCAGTCTCTCTGCTCTAATAAAGTTCACAATTAAATATAATTTGGTACTGTTTTCTGGATTTAGGCATTATTGGCTTTTATGTAAAAATAATTTTTTTTGGTACTTGGGATCAAACATGGGTCTGCGAGGCAGACACAGGAACCACTGAGCTAAATCCCCAGCCCAAAAGTGAATTTTAATACAATGAAATACTGCCAACTTTCTTACTTTTCCCTTTGGGATGTTTTCACTCAGAATTCCAAGGGTGTAATTAACACTAGCTGTTTACCTGGTAGATGTGCTCGTCTTCTCTACTGTGGACATAAGTCTTGCAAATGCATCAGTCACTTTGAGGCTTGAGGTGGAGATTTCCAGCTTAGAGGTTGTTAACTCATACAACTCTGGATCCACACCTTATAGTATAAAATGATAGTCAGTGATGGTAAGCTGCATGGATTCCTCAATTAGCCACAATACACGATGCAATAGCAATATTCTATAAACATCTGAGTCTATTGTTACAAGCACAACAAAGCTTTAGAACACTTTTAAATTATAAACTGTCATTTTTGGAATATCTATAAAACAGGAAAATGCTTTTAAAATTCCACTTTGGAATGAAAATAATCTAAATTTTTATAGCAGATGCCTCCCAAATACTTCTAAAATTTCTATCTTCTGTAGAAAACTACCCCAGCTTTGGATTCATGTGTAATATAAAAATTATCAATGTTTTATAAATGGAATGCACATATGTTAAATAACTTTACTTTTTAAATTGACCTATGAACCTCATTTTTTGAACCTTCTTTTCCCACCTCCCAACCATTCTTCTTCATTATTTCTTCCACTGTAAAAGATTTAGAAGTTAATATAAAAATCTCAAATATGGTAAAAGATTTGCTTAGTTTGAATATATCATGATTATCTATGGATGTGAACTAATATTCAAAGCAATTATAACTAAACATACACTACATTGTTCTTTAGGTAAAAAGTGGGCAGAGTAAAATATTTTGAAGAAACAGTGAATAACAGTAATATTTTGGGTAAAGTGGAAATTCTTATCTTCAGGGTTATTTATATTTCTATAGTCTTGAGCCTGAACCTGGTAGCCAACAGTTCAAACGTCTAGTTAGAATAATTTCAAAAGAGGCTGAGTTAGGGCGTTAGATTATGAAAGTCTACATAAAAACCACCCCATCTGATTTCACTAAAATAAACAATTTTTACTATTTACCATGTAATATACATAAAACACTAAGAAGTTGAAACTTTTTTTTTTTTTGGTACGAGGAATCAAACTCAGGACCTTGTGCTTGCCACGTATGCACTTGTGCCACTGAACTACACCCCTGGCCAAGTTGAAATTTTCTGAAAAGTTAAATATTGAAAACTCAAGCTAACCTTTGAATAATAAAGCTACTCAGATTAAAAAATATTCTTAATCCTATACTGTCATTGGTGCCAGCAAACTACAGCAGAAATTTTAAGAGTGTAAGAGAAAATTAGACTGTAAAAAAGAATTTTTTTGGTGCCAGTGATCGAACTTGGGCCCTTGTGCTTATGAGGCAGGCAGCAGAACCACTGAGCCAAATCCCCCCCAAGAATGTTTTATAGCTTCTTTAATTTCTGCTTCTTGTTTTGTTTTGAGACAAGATCTTATTGCCCAGGCTGGCATTGAACCCCCTGGGTTTAAGTGATCCTCCTGCCTCAGCCTCCTAAGTAGCTGGGAATAAAGGTGTGCCCAAGTAATTATTACAATTCTGAAAAAAAAAGCTTGAAAGATCAGATAAAATTATAGTTATGCATATAGTTACATTACCCAGATCCCTTCTTTTAGGATATTTCAAGGTTAAGGAAAAAAAAAAATCAAGAATTGCCTATTAATCAACTCTGCAGCATTTATAAACACAGATCTCAGATGTTTACAGAAATTAAGCAAAAGCAACTTCCACAGTTACCAGTTCCAACAAGGGAGGAAGGCTATAGAAAATGTATGTTGACTCTCACTAGTTTTGAATATTTCACTAAGGTATAATTTCAAGGTATACTTAGAACTTTTATTCTTCTATACTAATTATATGAGTTGTAGTTAAAATGTAAAAACCTGTAGATGTCTGTAATGAGACCAAATGAACCCAATACAACTTTCTTCTTCCGCTGTTAAAGGTTAGATTCTGAGCAACTACAAAATTTAAACTGATTTCTAATGTACAATGCAGAAGAAATAACTGCATCCTGACTGGCAACGGTAGAGTGTGAGTAAAAACTTAGTTGGGTTTATAAAATATTGGCCACTTGGTTGTCAAGTGGAAGATTGATAAAAATGACAGCTGGATAAAATGGTGTGTGCCTATATAATCCCAGCACTCTGGGAGGCTGAGTCAGGAGGATTATAATTTCTAGCTCAACCTGAGCAACTTACTGAGACCTTTTCTCAAAAATTTTTAAAAAGGCTGAGGATGTAGCTCAGTGTGATGATGGTCCTGGGTTCAATCCTCAGTACCAGGGAAAATAAAACAGAAACTGCTCCCTTTCTAAAGCTCAAAATGATGACTTTCCCCAGATAAAAACACCACCCATGGTGGAGTCCACTACTATTGTTAAAATTTTTAGAAATGAAGAAACTACCGACTGTACACTGGTAATTAGGGAATAATTTTTTAATGAAAGTTTTTTTAAAACAAAACCTTAATGAGGCATAGTTTACATAATTAAAGCTAGCCAACCAAGTTCTATGCCAACCTCCTAAGAAATCACACACAAAATAATTAATTAACTGCAAGTTAAGACAAAGTGACTTTCCCAGAAACAAGTCAGAAAAAGTACAAGTAAGTGGTGAAATGGAATACTAAGGAAGGTGTTGATACCTGTAGCTTGATGGTTTTAACAAAACCCAATAGCAATAAAAAAAGCCAAAGCAAATTTATTATAATCAAATTTATACAGCAGCTAGAGCATATTAATGAAAATACTGAACAAAAATAAGATCCCAAAGTAATGAGCACTACATTTGACCATGCTGATTTCATCTCCATTGTAGTTCTAAGCTTTTGAAACTGCTGTTTTTGAAACAGTACACATTGAATCTGATTATCAGGTCATTTCTGTACTTGTTTGTATGGCCACGTTATCCCCTGCTCCTATGAATGGTTTTTAAATGAGTTTGAAATGTAAGCAAAAATTAAAACTAAACCAGGTCTTAAAGTAACCCCAAGTAAAATGTGACTTATTTAAATTATAATACAATTGGCGACAAAACAAAACTGAGAGCAAATTTATAATGGGAGACTGGTAATTAACTTTAAGTATATAGAAGGGACATAAAATTTTTGGTTGTTCCCCCCGACTCACATTAAGTACTGTATTATGAAATGTCTAGCTCACTCAGATCATTCCACAGATAGGACGGACACATTTATAATTAATTTAATAGTAAAATATCATCTTGAAGTGAAAAAACAGACATAGACTGGTTTTTCCAAAATTTGCTTCCCAAATCTTAATAACAAATGAAAATGATAGCTAGGGGCTTAAGTTTGCAGAATGCAATCATTCTATACTGGAGGACCTTGAAACTTCTCTGTATCAAGATCAGATTTCTCTTAAGACTTAAAGGCATACTGGGGTCCCAAGCTTGCCCTTGGCTGGCTTTGTAAGGCCCTTCATCTCATCCCAATATTCTATCACGGTTCCTAAATTTCTGGAAGTGGGTGACTGGGTTACCTAGAACAGAACAAAACAAGCAAATTCTCAGGAACCAGGTTGGCTGGAAAACTGTTCAGTGAAAGGGATCCCTACTACGGCATCCTGGGCACTGGCAGCTATATTAGCCCCCAGTGGGCAACAGTGATCAATAGGCATGATTACCAGGATCACAACTTGGCTGACAGGGACTCATTAAAAGTCACAGTAAATAAAATGTCAACATAAAAATGCCATTATAATTTTAATCTTTTATTCAGTTAGAAAATGACAAAATACATTAGTCATTTGGTCCATGAACTGAACTTTCGCAGAGCTGAACATTAATTTAACAGGCACTCCAGTTAAGTTTTAACTTCTAGCTTCTAGTATCTCATAGTAATTATTTTCTATTACTTTTATTAATATTTTTTTCTCCATGGAAATCTAACAGTACCTTTAAAGGTTACATAAAAACTTTAAAGTTCTATGTGGGACATATAACTATGTGCTAATCTCCAACATTTTGGAACCTAATTACTTGCATGTATTTAGCAGTACTAATAAAGAACTAATTAAAATGCTAGAATTTAATTTGTAAAGGTTGTATTATTACAGGTACTACAATGTAAAGTCATCTTTGTGTACTAAAATATTCTTGTATCTTTAAATTTTTTTCAAATGGCTTTAAAGAATATATTTTAAAACTAAGCCTACAAAATATCATTTCTTCTACTTAATGGAGGTGGGCCCTGCCTTTCACTAAGGACATTAGGGCTGCATTATTCCCAGAAACTACTGTCAGCTTTGACTATTATTCTCTGAGAATGTTTGCTTTAAAATATATTTCACATAAGTCATTTGTAGTAGTCAGAGATTAGAAAATAGCAAGAATAAAGAGAAGTATTTAAAAAGACATTACAGAATACAATCTACTTATTTCCTTGTTTATAGGAAAGTCAAGTGTTGTGGTCATGCTTTTAGCAAATTAACTAGAATTGTGGTTTTAACACTCTGCTGACCTGGGATTGTGGTGCTGCTGCTAGAGCTACTGTCATCCACGGGCCCAAAGAAATCAAGGTTCAGAAGAGTGGAACCTCCACTAGCTTGAAATTCAGTGACCGTGTTGGTAGGCAGCCACACAGAAGGTAAGCCAAGGGAGGAGGGGTTATGTGTAAAAAGGGGTAAGACACACACTTGAACATGCAGGTTATAATTAGTAGTCATTACACATTTTAAAAATCAACATTAAAACAATGTGTACAGTATTAGTTTTTCATTGCTAAGGACATTTTTAAAGTAACAATTTAATTCAATGTACATTTTCTCATGTACAATGTAAAGAATATGACACTTAGTAAGGTTTTAGTTAGAAGTTCAGTTCTTTCAATCAAAACTGGAAGCCATACCAGAAAGACCGAGGGGAAGGCATACCCGTTAAAGGGAAACAATACTTTAATCTCAACCTGGCAAGAAATCAGTGTACATTCCCAAATCAATCTCTCATGTTAGTAATGTTGGTTTGTAATTAATGATAAAAAAATGACAAAGTTGTCAGTTTCAGTACACGCACCAATACATTAACTCAGTTTAAAATAATATAATAATGTCATAACTGCCCTACCCTGATATGCAACCTCAAGCTGTACTGTTCCCCTTTAACTCTGAAACAATCAGAAATAGTATACATTTTAAAAGACGTTGTTTGTTAATAAAAAGCATGATGATTTGACTGAAGACAACAGACAACAGCAAAAGGTGCATCCAGGCTTTCCTTCAGCACAATATATTCAATTGGATGCTTTGCAGATAGCTTTGGACCCCCACTATAAGGCAAAATTGATAGTGTTTTAGACAATGGCAATAACAACTGCCATTGAGTTGATGACAACAGGTGTTCTTCTAGACAATAGCTCAAATAATTTAAGAAGCACAGGAGTAGGAGCAATTATATTTCAGAGTCCACTGAAAATATGTGAAAGCTAGAAACTAGCATGTATGTTATTTTAAAGACTCCTATTTCACTAGAAGTTACTAGAAGTCTTTTTTTCAGCATTTCCTTTTAAAACCATAAGCAAAACAAATACTCTCTGGAATTGCCTATATGCATTCAAGATAAGTTTTAGAAAAGGATCATGAAAATCATCATTTTCCATTTGCATATAAGTACTCTATAAAATATTATTAAATCTGAAAACTACTGAGTCAATAAATATGGACTTATTAGCACACTGTTTTTGGTTAATTGTGCTTTGTGTTTAAAGCAGCCTCTAGCCACAAGACTTTGCATCCAAGAAAATTCTATAAATTAAAACTACAGAAAAAATTTTCAATTAAATAGGTCCTAGCTAAAATATCATCTAAACTATCTAGTTATTTGTAAAAAATAAAGCTTATTTTTTTACTTAAATTAAAATTTTGCCTTGCTACTACTACCTATATCTGGACATTAATACTATTGATAATAGTAACAGCTTTGTCTCTTAGGCAATTACTAATCAGAAAGAAAGCCTGAATTTCCAAGATAAGAAGTTATGTTCAAACAAAAAAAAGGAAATCAGCAGAGAGAAGTTTGTCTGAACTTTGCAGCTTTCTTAACTCTAGCTCTGGTGCTAGAGGCTCTACGGAGAGACGTACCATCTAAAGGGTTAGTAAGGCCACTGCTACTCCAGTCAAACTGGACGGGTGGTAGAGACTCCTAGAGTTGAAACCAGAAAATCAAAATTAATCAGTATAGGTTGTAGCAACATAAAGAATCCTTAAAAAAAAAAAAAATTATTATAGCAAGACCATTAGGCAACGAAGTACCTAAAGACAAAATTGAAATAATTTTAGAAAAGTTACTTGTAAATATTAACACAAAAGCTAAAACTGCAAATTTACGCACTGTACAGTTCATTGATATTAAAAACGTATCTCAAAAATGCAATTATCTACAATTTTAAACAAATTTATAACTGATTCTATGCCAAAAGATTGCAACCTATTCTCAAATCATGTTTAATTTTTAGCTTGATTAAAAGCAAAACATCTTTAAACTTTATGATTTTTTTCACTAAAGAGTTAAATTTACCTTAAATGACTAGTCATTTAAAAATTCCTAACATAAAATATAATGCAACAGAAAAGGTACTATACTGAAAGTGAGATTTGGGTTAAGACAGAGTGACCACTAAGTAACTAGTTATATTTACTTGTAGGACTTGGTTAATTACGCAGTCTCCTTAAATACAAAATAAAAAAGTTCAAAGTTCAACATTTCTAGTTCTTCATAATTTTTCAAATTGCAAAAGAAATGAAATGAGACTTTTTTTTGGAGACAGGATCTGACTTTGTAGTTTAGACTGGCTTTGAACTCACTATGTAGCCCAAGCTGGCCTTGAACTTGTGGCGATCCTCCTGCCTCAGCCTCCAGAGTGCTGAGATTGCAGGCGTGCGCCACCACACCTGGCAAGACCTACATTTTTTAAAGTGTTACTTTGATATATTTATTTTAATCAACTTCTGATATAGACATTACTTATAATCACATATCAGAATTTAATTTTTAAAATAACACTAAAAGAATTCTCAGAATGGATTGGCTATCCTAGGTTTTTTATTTAACTGGTAAACATATAAAGATAAAATAAGCAAATGGCAAATACAAAATATGGGACAGTTCAAAAACTTTTTAGATGAGCATTCCTTTTGTTTTAAGAATATTCTTATCAAGAAAAATTTTGTGATTCTCGTTTTAGAAGTGGTGTTGAGAACACTTATGGAAACAACCTGTGCTGTATTAGACTTTTAGTATCAACACATCATTATTCTTTTTTTTTGGTATTGCTTAACACTATGCTTTACTGTTAAGGGAGGCTCTATTAAAACTTTACACTCATTTTTTGGAGAAAGGTAGGTAAAGATAATGATCTGTGTAGGATAGCAGCATGAACTGATTATTTTGGAAAGTCTAATCCTATAATATTATAATTAATTTGATAAAACATACAAATAATGGTAGGCAAATTAATATTAAGTATTATTAAAGCAAAAACAAGTCTAGCCTGAGGTTGAGGGCAAAGATATAAGTCAAGTAAAGTACTAACACCAGGGCTGCCAGGTATAAAAGGTGGAAGAAAGCAAGTTCTCTGTAGGATGGAAGAGTTCTATATGTTGGTGATGGTAGTGGTTACCTAACTTTACCCATGTGATAAAGTGACACAGAACAATATACACACATATCACACCAAAGTAACAGTCCTTACTTTTACATTTTATTATTAGTATACAAGATGTAACCAGGGGGACACTAGTGAAAGATACACAGGACTTTCATGTAGTGTATTTGTAATATCCTATGCATTTATAATTATTTCAAGTAAGTTGAAAAATAAGGGTTGTGCAAACCCATTTATAACCTCCGAGTTTAATAAGCATTTAGAAAAAGACAGTTTTAGTTGATCTCAAAATTAAACATGAAACATTCCAGAAGATTCAATTTATTCTACTTTTGGATCAGTTAGACCATTACAGTAGTTATAATAAAAATTGAGTAACTGGGGCTGGGGACTTAGCTCAGAGGTGCTGCTGCCTGCCTCACAAGCTCAAGGACCTGAGTTTGATCCTTGGTACTAAAAAAAAAAAAAAAAAAAATC